AGAATAGCTAGTACCTTCTTATGTGAATAGGAACTGGTTACAAGGGAAAGGATGTTTTTCTATGAGGCTCTTTTCCCCCTTATCCTTAATTCAGCACACTCGACATTTCACAAAGGCTAAAAGCTTTGGAAACCTTAACAGGGAAAAAGCTTTCTGTCCAAAAGTGAGCTAATTATATACCAACAGCCCAGATATTCCTATTATCAACACAGTGCCTAGGCTCTGCCTGAACCCTGAATTTCAAGTCTCAGGGTGTTGACTTCAGCAACCTAGCAATGCCATCTAATCTTTGTGACCTAAAACCTGTTTGTGTTAAGCAGGAAGGCTTGCCTAGGGTAAAAGGCACTCTCGAGTGGGAAAAAAGAGATAATTTATATTTTTCACAACATAATTTACTCTGACCATTTTAGAACAGGTTATGAAGACCACATACAATGATAATCTAACAAATTCTGTAGAAACTGTTATTGAGAGGAAGTTGTTGTCATAAATATAATTGTGTTTCTAAGTCTTCACTTGGTTGTATCACTTCCAAAACACAACAAAACCCACCATATATGTTTATTTTCCTGCAATGTATTTACTGCACGTGAGGACAAAGAAAGTTATGTGGCTATATGATAACCAAAATATACGTGTGCAAGTATGGGGCATGTTAATAAGAGCATTTCAATATCTACCATTTGACCTATTTGGCATTTTCCAAAATATTTTACACAGTGTGCACTGAGACTAAAGTATGTATCACTTGTCAGTATGTTATCACATGATAAGAAAAGAACTTAGCAGAACAAGTCAGCTTTAAAAAAAGATGTTACCATTTTAAAAACCATTTTTTAAGACAGCCTACCATATTCCTAATAATCTGTCCTGACTTTTACCAGTCAAATCAATTAAGTCCCTAACTGTTGATGCATTTTTTACTAACTAAATAATGTATACCATCTTCCAACCTCAACCTCATTAAGGAGATTGCAGTTGTCTGCAATATTTAAAAATATTTAGAATATTATACACTACATATTACATACTGAAAAGTTTGAGGTAGCCAAAATTAGAGCCCAACTTTATGAACAACAACACTCTTTCATTTAAAAAATGAAAACAAACACCACACTTTCTCTTCAGAACAGTAAGGAACACAATATAAAAAATGTTTAAAGAGCTTAAAATGTCACTAATGTCCTAAAAATTTAAAATGATATTATGATGTTAAAAAAAAAAAAAAAAGATGGGTAGCTTAGTGGTTAAGAGGATTAGGCTCCAAAGTCAGATTGCCTGGACTACTTCTAGATCTGCTATATGTTAGCTGGAGCAACTCAGAAAAGTTAAGTCCTCACCTATATGTGGACATAATACTGCCACTGTTCTGAGCATCTTACACACGGTAACCCACTTAATCCTCTCAATAACCCTATGCGGTTGGTCCTATTGCTAAATGCCCTCCCACCCCCCGGAGGTTATATACCTTGCCCAAAATGGTGAGGAGTGGCAAATATACCACCCCCAAATATGCCACTTTGGCATAAGGATTATTTTGAGCTAAAGGCTTTTGAAAAACAGCAGGTGCAAAAAAGGGTTCTCTGACCTTCCCTTTCCTTCCTGAAAGCAGGAGAAAAAGCCCCGTATAGAAGATGCCAGGAGGAAAGAAACACTCTTATCAGCAGAGGTAGAGAACTGAGGCCAACAGAACTCCGTACAAATAGATCCTGCTAAAATAACTCTTATCTTCCTTTAGTCTCCCCACATTCTTTACTCTTCCACAGTGGCCTCTTTGTTCAACCTGGTATATAAGCACGTAGGTTTTGCCACTTCTTTGGTCTTCATTTTCCTAGGGGGGCTCCCGTGTACGTGTGAAAACCTGCACGCTTCTCTCCCGTTAACGCGTCCTATGTGTATGTACTTCTCAGGCCCAGGCAGAGACCCTAAGCGCAGCGAGAAGTTCTGCTTTCCCTCTAACAGAGACTCTGGCAAGTTGGAGCGCTGGGATACGGAGCTGATGGGCCTGGCTCGAGTCAGGATTCTTACCTGCGCTTCACGGTAGCGCCTCTGAAGTATGCCTGAGGAAGAAGGGAGGTGGTGTGGTCGATGAAAGAGGGAAGACACAGGAAGAGAGAGCTGACGCTGATGCTGGCTGGTGGCACCACAACTTCAGGAGAGTAAGCTCACAGGACAGTAGGAAGATGCGAGGATTTTTCATGGAAAGTGGTGAAGGGGTAGAACTTTGTACCTGGAGGGCAACAGGGCTAAACAGAGACAAGCTTCAACACTCATGGAAGCTGAAGGACCAAGGAGCCTCAGCAGACATCTAGGGGACTTGTCATCTGGCTTGGATCATCTGAAACAGGGAGGGCCACCAGCTGCATTTCAAATTACATCGCTGCGGTGGAATGACGACAGAAGTGTCACCATGACTGCCGGGGACACCACTGCTGCAGGGGAGGTACCGGGCAGGGACAGCACCTACCCGACTCTGTCCGAGACGGTCCTGGGAAAATGCCCTTACAGCACAGCATGTCGGCTTTCGGGAAAGCGTACCCTTAGGGCTTAGGTATAGCCGATGGCACAGCTGGAACACGAGAGCAGATGAGAGTAATGAAGTGCTGGAAGTTTCCTCAGGAATTAGCAAATCTGAACGTTTCTGTGTCTTCTGAGGCTCAGCTAAAGACCACTTCTTTCTCTTCTTTTTTTTTTTTTTAAGATTTTATTTATTTATTTGACAGAGAGAGACAGCCAGAGAGGGAACACAAGCAGGGGGAGTGGGAGAAGGGGAAGCAGGCTTCCCGTGGAGCAGGGAGCCCGATGCGGGGCTCGATCCCAGGATCCTGGGATCATGACCTGAGCAGAAGGCAGACACCCAACGACTGAGCCACCCAGGCGCCCCTAAAGACCACTTCTTAAACCAGAGTCTTTTCTAGAAGAGGAAAGGTCCACAGTAAATAAGCTTCACCTGCTGAGGTAGAATAGCCTGGAAACCGGGCCCCTATTGGTCTAGCTAGCTAGAGTGAAGATTCTACATGTTTCGAGCCACCAGACACTGGAGGAGATTTCTGAAAGAGCAGCAGCTTGAGTGTTTTCAGCTGTGGTTAAAACTTACCCCTGAAGTGCTGCCAAATGGCAGCCCAGCGAGCCAGAGAGGTGAAGATGTACAAAGAGTTTCTGAGGCCCAGCATTAGAAGCTGCATGTGCTCTCAAAGATGTCTATGCACGAATCTCAACATCCTTTAGATGGCTATTTGAGTACAAAAACAGTAATGTTGATTTTGGATCACGAAACAAAAAGCAGCAAAGTTCTCTACATATGTGTTGAGACCACAGAGAAACACAGAACAGAGTTTGGAACACCAGGCTTGGTTGAAGCAAATTTTGAGAGATGAATTTCTTGCGAAAGGCCTAAAGAAGAGACCAGAGGCATCCCTGAGGTTCAGTTAGTGAGGCTAATTCAGGAGGTACGAGGGAAGCAACACTGGCAACTTTCAAGGAACAGAAGTTGGGACTGAGGGAGCCAGTTCTGACCTGGAAGCCACGGCACAAATTCCTGAGTGGTAAGAAGGGCCAGATAAGCAGGCGTGTGCATGGAACCCCAGTTTATGCTCGTCAGAAAGTTCCCCAGGCAAAACCACTGGCCCTGGTCAAACAATGCCTCACAATTTTTGCCTCAGGTGTAGAGGATCTGGGCAGAGAGAAAACAGCTCTGCCCACCCGAGCTATTGTCCCTGTCCCAGGACAAATGAGGCAGATTCACAGAAAGTGCCAGAAGAGAAAGGGCATCTGCCAGCACTACATATTCTGGCCTGCCAGAACTCGACTGTGGAAAAGATGGGATATTCTAAGGTAACATTTAGCCACAAGAAAAACTCTAATCTGTCTCCCAGAGGTTAAGGCCTAGCAATGGAAGAGGGCCAGATGGGTGAAACCTTTGTGTCCTTTCTGTGAGAGACCAGATCCTAAAGAGAAGGCTGAAGAGGCAGACACCCAGCCACCTACCCTTCTGAAAGTGTGGGGAAAGAGGACTGGCAGGAACCCTGGCTCTGAGAGGACCTAAACTGAAAATTCAGGATCACCCTCAAATCCAAGGAGCCATCCTCCACTTTTCAAGACATATAGAGCATTTGCCAATACAAGGGGACCCCAGTCTGACTGGGCCAAGACTGAAGACTGTAAGAGGTAGGAAACTGGAATCTGGAAAGGGGGACACCTGAGAAACATCCCAGGGAGCAAATACCCTATGAATTTATGCACATCCTGTCAGGGAAGGAGCTGAGTTGGGCAGGAGGAAGTCCAGAGTGGAAGAGGGTGCGTGCTACGTGGGAATGTTAGGCTTTGGCTCACCATCCTCTGGGGAGAGAATTTCTGGGACGAACTATACAAAAACTGTAAATCTCTTCCTTGGGGGGAAAGACACAGTGACATGAAGGAAATGTTATTTTTCAGAATTCCCCTTGGAAAGAGCATTGTATTTGTTTGAAAGAAATTTTTTTTAAAGCCACCAAAATCGTAATAACTGCAGGTATCAATCAATTTTATAATAGAAAATAAACGAGTCTTAACAAACATGTAGGAGACAATTTAACATATTTAAAAAGTATACTTAATTCAGCAAATTATTTATTGGATGCCTAATTTAATTTCAGATGCTAATTTAAGAAGCAAGGTCTGGTGCTGTTTATAAAGCAGAACTTGATCTACCAAGGATCCTTCAAGACTTCTGGTTTTTCACAATTAAAAAGGTTCACCAGCTTATGTAGAAAAAAAAAAGGGGGATGATTTTATACATTTAATTTGAAGGATACAGCCAAGGTAATATATAAGAAGTGTATGACTTGATGATAATAATCTAAGTGATTAATGACCTTTATTTTTATAGATTTCACATACATAAATGAATTCTGGAATTAGTAGGAAATAATTTTTAAAAAATCAATCACATAATTTCCAAGTAATCTTTTAAAGGAAAAATTATTCAACCAATTATGATTTTGTTTCTTAAAAAGACTCACCTAAAAGGACAAATCCATCTGCTTCTGTATCTGGTGCAGAGGGCTTTTTAGATTCCGGAGATTTTCTGAAGAAGGGAAACATTGCTGCTGTCTGAAACAGAAACACTATATAATGTCAAGTTCAGATGAAAATGTAAAAAAGTCTTACCCTTTTTAGTAAAAAGCCAAACATAGAGATATCACAATAATTACTTTTAAGAATTCTATTACCAGACTTAAGAACATAAGCCCTCTCCAAGTGTCAGAAGACAAACCCAGATATTAAGGGGCACAGACTTCCAGTTCAAAATCATGTGTGCCTTGAACCGTGCAACCTTTATCAATTTCTGAACAGGCAGGAAATTATATATATAAAACTAAAATCAACAGATAACACCAGAATCTGGAAGGATCTTGCTAACTATAAATTGGACACTGGACTGGTGAAAGGAAAAACCAAACCAAACAAAAACTCGTCCAGGTTTCTTGTCATGCCATAACCAGCTTAAGCTTCATAAAACTGAGGCCACGTGAAAAAAAGAAAGGAAGGCACTTCTAACATCCTCCACAGTCGGTTACCTGATTCAGACACTCCAGGGCTGACTGTATCCATTGCAACCAACTTTAAATTCCCATCAATGCAGATCTTTGTGTTGGTAAGACTGTGTGCCCCAACACACACACACACCCCCCACTTTTCTCTCTCTCCTCCCATCTTTGTATATTCAGGGAGGACAACAACTCCTAGAAAACAATGGGGAAGGAAGTTGGGGGGGAACCAGAGAGGACACACCACATTCTGAGGACAGTCCCTGTAAGCAAAGCAACGTAAGTCTTGGTGGCGGCAAGTGCTCCACATTTTAGTTTCATATATTCCACCCACACCAGAAAATGAAGCAGGGAGGGTAAATAAAGATTTTATCTGAGCAAAAGCCTTCTGGAAACGGAGAACTGTACTGGGGTTTGTGGAGGTCGACTTGCCCTGAGCTGTGGACCCGAATGGACAGTAACGGAGCTTATTTGTTGATAGAAAACATACAACTGGAGAAGAATAACACAAGGCATGTGATCAAGAAAATAGTTCAGTAAAGGAAAAGGAGCAGCCTCTGAAATCCTCAAAGAAAACACTTACAAGATACAGTGAGTGGTCTAAAGGAAAGGTCTGGAAATAGTTTGGCATCCTCAGCAGAGGACAAGGAGACACAGCCCATATGGAACTGGTGAAAAATGAGATTAGATGCAAAAGCAAATGCAAAAGATGAGAAGACAGAGTGAGATGCGAAGAATAACTGAGTAAGATGAAGAGAAGCATGTGCGAGAAGGAAATGGTATCAGAAGAGATACCTGGTTGGCTTACAGGCAGGAATGTACAAAAACAGAGCTCAGATTCAAAGACTTGAAAGACTGGAAAAGGCAACTGACTTCTCAACCCCAAGCAGTTGAAAATAAGACGGAGAAAGCCTTTGAAGGAACAACAGCAGATTAAAACCCAACCTCAGGTAAGCATCAAATCAAGAATACAACCATTACACCTGGTATTAAAACCTCAGCCTGGTTCAACGCGGCATGTAGTCAATCCCCTCACTTGGGATAAAATGGTTCAGGAAAAACAGACGAAAAGGTTAGGTCTTCAGCTGAAGCCTAACAGAGAAAAGTTACCCTCATATAAGGAAAGAGGGAGCGAGGACCTGTGGGGTGAAAGCAGGGAGGAATGTAGGCAATCTGAGAGATGTCTAGCAAAAATTGTAGGTCTGGCTTATGGACACATGAAGCCGACTGGAATCAAATAGCTAAGAAGCCAACAAAATGTTTGAGAGCTGTATGGCCAAAATGACCACTACCAGTCTGGATTAAAAGAAGATCAGCGTGCTTAAGTGGCTCAGTCTGTTAAGCAGTCGGCTTGGGCCATGGTCTCAGGGTCATCGGATCGAGCCCCGCATCGGGCTCTCACTCAGTGCGGAGTCTGCTTGAGATTCTTTCTCTTTCCCTCTCCCCCTGTTCTGAAACAAATAAATCTTTTTTTTTTTCTTCTTAAAGGAGGACCATGACTAGTGGATATTTACAACAACCCTGGAGACAGAAAGTTGCCAGGGAAATTGCTCAGACCCCAAAGAGGGCCTATTCTCCAGTGCCCGCTTCAGTGATAGCCAAGGAAGTTACTAGAAAAGGAGGAAACTCCAAGAGGGTGGAGCCAATGGGCATGGAGAACAAGGACTGGGGGCCTCTCCCAGGAAGCAGAATCTGGGCATAATTAATAAACATCCTCCAACCCAAGGTGGGGGCCCCCCCCAAAAGCTTGCTCAATTCCATTTCAGAATTGCTACCACTCCATGACTATTGTATTATCTCCCATTCCTCCCGTTTCTGAATGAGAGTGGTTCGGGCAGTATGTTTCCCAGTTCCACCAGAGTGGGAGGGGACAGGGGGGTGGGTCATTTTAATTCATGAAGTCTCCAGACCAAGAGATGGCACACCTGGGCCTGATGGAGAGATACTGGCCTTCGAGTGTGACGCTGTGACCGAATGGCGCAGTTTAGATTACTGCCCTTAGGGAGGGGTGAGTTATCTTGCCTACAATGAAGAGAACTGTGTATGTGGTGACCACAAATGAGAACCATGGAATCATTAGGGTTGTTCACTGGTTCTCTGCCTTCTGGAGACATAGGACTGCAGTTTTCTTTCCTCCTTGGAGGTAGATGTGGCCATGTAGCTTGCTTAGTTCACTGTGTCATGTGCCATTAGGGTGCTACATCAAGGAGCTTTGTGAACACAGAGAAAGAGAAGCCCTTTAAAAAGCGGTTCCTCTTCTAGCATATAAAGAAAAGCATTCTAACAGAAGTATTCAAATTTCCAATATTTTTTTTAAGGTTTTATTTATTTATTTGTCAGAGAGAGAGAGCACAAGCAGGGGGAGTGGGAGAGGGAGAAGGAGGCTCCCCGCCGAGCAGGGAGCCTGGTGGGGGGGGCTTGATCCCAGGACCCTAGGATCATGACCTGAGCTGAAGGCAGACGTTTAACCGACTGAGCCACCCAGGTGCCCCTCCAGTACTTTTTCATGTCTGGCCACAAAACAGAAACAGAATGAACATGGAAATTATAAAAGTGGTTCTGTTAAGTCAGTCTCAAGCCCCAAAAGTTTAAATATGTTGCTATAAAAGCCAGACCAAGGGGCACCTGGGTGACTCAATCAGTTAAGTGTCTGACTCTTGGTTTCTCTTTTTAATGCAAGTGTTTTGTACAGAATTTGTAACTTAAGTAATTAAGTGAAACATTTAAATTTTTCATGACCTAAAATATCAAATTTAAACTATACACAGGCTGCATCAGTTTGTGTTTCTTAAAACTCAATAATGAGAAAACAACTCAAAAAAAAAACAGGGCAAAAAATACGAACAGACACTTCACCAAAGAAGATATGTGGATGGCAAACAATCACATGAAAAGATGTTCAACATCCTTAAGCAATAGGCAAATGCAAATTAAAATCTCAGCAAGATACCACTATATACCGATTAAAATATTTAAAATTTAAAAGGCTTGCCATGCCAAGTGTTGGCAAAAACGTGGAACAACTGTAAGTCTTGTATACTGCAGGAGGTGTGTAACACAGTACAACCACTATGAGTAAGAGTTTGGCAGCTTCCTGAAAATATAAACATACATCTACCATATGACCCAGACCTTCTCCTTCAGGTATTTACCTAAGAGAACTGAGAGCGTATGTCCACACTTGTACACAAATGTCATCCAGCTTTTTTAGTAATAGCCCAAACTGGAAACAACCCAAATGTCCCAAACCAGGTAAATGGATACACTCTGGCATATCCATAATACTATTTAGCAGGAAAATGGAATGAAGTCCCAAGATCTGCTACAACATGCATGAATCTCAATAGAATTAAGCTAAGTGAAAGAAGCCAGACAAAAAAGAGTTCATACTGTATGATTCCATTTATATGAACTTCCAGAAAATGCAAACTAATGTATAATGACAGAAAGCAGATCAGTGGTTGTCTGGGGAATGGGGAAGGGGGGGGTGGAGGAAGGAGGGATTACAAAGAAGCACAAGGAAACTCTGGGGCTGATGAATAGTGATTGTGGGGGATGGTTTCAGGGGCATAAATATATCTCAAAACTCATCAAAAGATACACTTTCAATATGTGCAATTTATTGTATGTTGATAATAACTCAACAGAGCTATTTTAAAAATTCGTTATTAGCACAATATCCTAGATGTCATATAAATATTTAGTTCACATGATTCGGAAAATTGTCTCAAATCTCTTAAACCTCTGTGTGTGTGTTACAGATACAGTCTTTGTATAAAAGACAAAATGCTTCTTTTCTCTGTGTATCCACACAAAACTGAAAAATAAAAGGACAGTGTCTTCACTTTTAATGGTATGCAGAGAAGGCATATAAAAGGGCTAGCTTGATCGCTAGACAGGGCAGATCCTATTGCTCTGAAAGGGCCCAGAGTAGGGCAAGTAATATATTTATTTTTCCCTATTATTCTAAGGCTTACCTATTAAGTAATATTACCCATGACAAAAGGATTAAGGCAACCTGGTTTTCTCAATTTATCTTCTTTCAATTTCAATAGACTACTAGGTAATGTAAAATGCACATACACTGCAATTCCTATCTGTGATTGATCAACAGCGGCCACTTAACTGTAATAACATACAAGTTTCCCCTGCTATCTGAACGTAGAGCACTTCTGTAAAAGCTTTTTCTAAGCCCAAATGGCATAAAATGAAAAAGCAATCATCATTAATTTGTATGGAAAAATTTTTGAACATTCCCAGACCCCCAAAATAACTTCTCTTCAGCTTTTCAGGTACCCTAGGACACATCTTGCTAAGGGATACACAAAATAAATCCAGATAAAGCACAGATGCTCGGGGACACAGTGGAGACCTATGGCAGTTTGATGTGGAGATGCTGAGTGCAGTTCCCAGGGAAGGTGCCTGGCAGGGTCCCTCTCGTTGCTTAGGATGCACACTGCCTCTATAATAGCTTGCTGCAAACACTGAGCCCTATTTTTACTTTTTGCCTTTTTATCATAAAAGTGGAAAATCCTCTTCAGACTTGTTTCAGTTAGCGACAAC